ATCAGCGTTTGTGCACACTGTCGATCCTGTATTGAAACAACAAAAAATCAACACTGAATAAAATCAACACTGGGTTTAATGGATGATCAACGTTGATTAAGTATCAACAGCCAATAAACAACCAAAATCAACAACTGAGCTGTTGAATTTGCTTGTGATTTGTTTTCAACATAGGATCAAGGACGTTTTCAATTACGGCATGCCTACTTGATAAAGCGTACACCGCGTGTTGATTTACTGCCATTTCAACGGAGCTCGTAAGACACGGAATCACGACATGAACCTGTTTGTCTGAGAAGCATGCATCATACATGAACGCATGGTTGGAGTCGTGTTGAAGTTTCTTGAAGCCACTGCATCCGTATACAACACGGAATGTTTCATTCAGCGCGTCAGCACGCTCTTTCAGACAACAATTTAGAGTTCTTGATACGGACAGAGTTGCAAAATCAGGTAACGACCATGTAACTTCAAGACTGAGTATCTCAACGGGCAAATCTCGTTGCTTAAACTACTGCCTCGGGGTTTGCTGCAGTCTCGTTGGCTTGCTCCGACGAACCAGACCCATCTCTATCCGCTCTGTCCGCTGCTGCCAGTGCCTTTGCACGCTCTGCTACACGGCCCTGAAGCCTCATCGGACAAACGGAAGGGTCTTCCGGTGCCACAACGAGTACAAAAGCGCTAACTCGAGCCTCTCCTGCTAGAGCCTCTTCTCGTACCCGAAGCATCTTCGCCTCTTGCTTCTCCAACCGCTTGATGCCACGGAAGTGTAGCTCCAGCTGCATCAAAGCCGGAGGCCATGTCAGCCTAGTGCCAGGCATCATGATATGATATCGTTTTGAATTGTAAGTGAGGACTCTGCACGTCTTTAATTAGCCGAGTTGGACCATGTATCGGGCCGAAGTTTTGAATCTACATCAGAATCTCCGACTACAGGGGCTCCACAAGAACGAGGATTATCTTGCCAGACCCTGCCGAAACGAGCTGGCTTTCCCTTATCTGATTTTTATACAAGCGATTCCATGCGACAGCAACTTCTGCATTTTGTCAGGAAGATAAAGTCCTTTGAAGCGAGTTCGTTCTCAGCACCCTGATTTGTCCCGATCACTTTGAAACGCATCCGCACTTGCAGGCTAAATGAGCCACATAATGGCAGAGGTCAACTAGACAGTGTTTAAGAATACGTACCACAACCTCGACCATTGCAAGCTGAGCGATCGTCGCGATAAGCTGATCAGGTACGGGCTGATTGTCGACGTCCACGTTGCACGCCTTCGCAAGCACTGTCCGGAAGCGGAGGTCGCCGTAAGCGTCCGTACCTGCCTTGCGATAGGCGTCACCTGTCAACATAATCGGACAATCAAGGAAATCAGCTTAACATCTCAGCGAAGCGAATTAGTTCAGAACATTATAGTGATGCCAAGTCACTACGACAAGTGTACCAAGACATCCAGAACATTTCCGAAGCAGGGTACAGCAGATCTTTGTTGAGAATAGGACGTAAGTCTAGCTCAAGGCATGTCTGATCTGCAAAGTACTGCCTGCCTGTGCACAGTAGATGCAGTACATCTGCTTCTCCCTAGCAGGACTTGCAAATGACAAAACGTTTGCTGTCTGCATACTCACGATCAGAAGCAAAAACCAGAATCAAAGAGTCAATTCGTGCTGACTGGTTGCCAACCCTTTGGGCACAGTGCTCATCGATGAAACCTTGCCTGCCAGAAGCTCGGTGGTGACCCTCGACCAATCTTCAGTTCCAGTCGCTGGCAAGTTGTAGCACTTTGTACCCGCTCCGCGAATCTTGGACACAAGCTGGCCCCTTTTCATGCGAAACTTGTCCATTTGGTGAGGTTGAATGAGGTCTTCGTAGAGCTCCTCGAAGAGCTCCTCTTGCTCTGGGTCAGGTGATACTCGGAGTGCGAGCTGGGTGTTGCTCCTCATGAGCTCGGAGTCAGCGACCCCGGATGTGAGCAGGCTCAGGTTGACAGCATCGGAAACCAGGAGCTGCACAAAAAACACTCTGTTAATGAAAGGATTGCGAATAACTTTTAACAGGTCACTGTTCGATGCATTGTCCGCAAAGATCACAATGGTGTTTAGACCTACTGGCTAAAGCACCTGGAACATGAAGCAATCAGATGGACCCCTTGATTGTGAGAGAAGCCCTTCTTATAGATAGCCAGATTACGAAGCGGAGCTAAGTGCAACTCAGACTTTGCCACGGACATGACTTGAGCAAAGCTTGAAGAGGTCTAAGATCGCATATGCTCGCTCACAGAGTTCTCTGGTTCTTCGCTTTTGAGTTGTTGATCTTACTTTGGTGGTGGACTTGGCGGAGCTGAGGAGCTTGGGGTTTGCTTTGAGCCTCTCGAGTAGCCCAAGCTGTTGCTCGGACGCTTCAGCCTGCAGAACATCTTGTTTAGTAAGTCTTTGGTGATGTGCTCTGACCGAACATGGCAAGGTGGAATCTGTTTCTCCTAGTACTGCCTCTCCCTTTCGTAGGGACAATTCTGCTGTTTTCACGCAACGAAGAAACTTCAAACGATGCTGTTGCTCAACGCTACCTTGGCTTTAAATACTCACTTTGAGATGTTTCCAAGCTCGTAGTAGGTTTGGATATGATGGACACAATGATAGTCTAAATCGAACTCACTATCCTGTTGAACAACCAGTCTTCCAAACAGGCCTGGCATTGTTGCAGAGAACAACTTCAACGTTCAACGTCCGAGATGCTCAACTGAAGGCTGTTGTTTCCACTAAGAACAAGCAGGCAGCTTAATTACACACCAATCTTACTTCAAGATGTGCAGAGATGACATTGCATAAGCTTCCCATTCAAAGTGGATGTCGCTCATTGAATAAGATAAGTGCTACTTTGCAGCTCACCTGTTGAGTCACTGTCACAGAGGACGTTGCGGGGTCAGAACTTTGCTGGCTCGACCCCGATTTTGACTTCTTGAAGCAGTTGAGAAGCTGATGCATTGCCTTCTCCATCCTGTCGTTGCGCGCCAGCTGCTCAGCCTGGGCCTGCTGCATTTTCAGATGTGACATGAGCAAAAGATTGAGGTCGAAACCGGCTCCAGTGGATGCCGCGTTCAGCACCAGTTCGCCGGCGGTACTCCGGCAGCTTTTGGCTTGAGGCTTTCCACCTGAGTCAGAGGAAGGGACAGGGATCAAGACCTGATTACTTGCGGAGCTCTTGAAGTCTCAAGACTTTGCCTGTCCATTTCAAAACTTGGAGCAACTTTTGCAAGACATCCATCTCTTATGAAAGATGAATCGCCTACTTTGAAGAGCTGAGCAAACTTATGCTTGCAAAACTGGATCGACGCAAGTCATTGCACAAAGCATTCTTTGGTGAAGATCAGAAAAGCGCCTACCATTTTCAGTCCTATTGAAGACGATGAGACACACAGTTCCAATAACCTACCCTTATCGCGTGGTACAGGGATGATTGCACCACTGTTTCCAGCTTTCTTCTTCTTTTTGCGAGGTTTTTCTTTCCCTGGAATCGTTGCCATCAGGTCAGCAAGGGGGTCTTCCTCAGCACTGCCGCCATCAGCTGTACCACCTGGTAGATTAAGAAAAAGGGTTGACTGCTTCTTGATAGAAGAGATGCTCCATTGTCCTATGTAAGCTTCAGCTATTGAGCTTTTGTGACAAGAGGCTGTGAAGTTGGGTCACGAATTTCTGCGAAGATACATAGACCAAGTGGAACGCTGCCCTATTGATGTTGAAGTTACTTGATGCTGGAATGCTGGAGCCTAAACCAGTGTCAGGTAGCACAATAAGCATCCAAGTGCAGGAGACTGAGTCAATTGACCATCCAAGCCCAGTCTGACTTGTCTTGCTGAGATTGGCATAAGCCCTAGACAGCACATTCTTTTATTCTAGAAACCTTGGCTCATTTCTTCCTGGTTTAGAGTAGAAAGGGACAGAAACGTTCATCATCATTGCGCCTCGTCTTGACAAGAGATCTTCTGAACATTCAGACTCATATTCATAGGTTCCATTTCAGTAATGCATAACTCATTTCAGGACCTTTCCGAGTGCTCACCATCAGGACCCAGCTCCTTGGCAACGTCCTCCTCCTCCAGATCATCATCGCTATCGTCGTCGCTCGCAGGGTCTTTCTCAGCATCACTCTCGTTGTACTCCGAACCTGACAGCTCAGGCGAAGACTCTTTGCCGGCTCCCCTAGTGCCGCCAGCAGCACCACCATCCTTCTCCGACTCGTCATCGCTCGACTCCGAATCGTCCTGGAACAGAGACGTCATCTGGGGCCTATTTCTTTTGCCATTGGGATTGATGTCAGATTGACCAGCTGCAGTTGCGATGGCTGCCTTTGCTTTAGCAAGAGCGGCTGGATTTTTGGTGATGGCAGTCAACACTGTTGCAAGCTCTCCAGCGTCATCCCCTAGCATGTGCGCAAGGCGAGCCTCTTCAGTGGTGGCTGATCTTCTAGGCCTTGCCAGCGGCTGAACAGGAAGAGAGCCGCCATTGTCCTTGTCTCTGTTTGCTGCGCCACCACCATTGGCTTTGGCCCTGCTGGTCCTGCCACCAGCCGAAGCGGTGGCATCTCCTTTCCTTCCTCCGCCGCCAGCCATCGATCATTCACGGAGAGGGAGCTTGGAGCTCTTGTCGTTAAAAAGGCAAGGCTGGGTTTTACCTAGGCACAGGTACAGGTAAGATGCCTGATCGTTGATGGCAGTGATGCAGAGCCCGTCTCCAGCTTCTCCAGCGCTCCAGGCTCCAGCTGATAGGTAGTGAGCGCTCGCCGCCGCTGTCACGTCATGGAAGTTTTGAAATTCATCGTGAGTCGCGGGATCAAAATTGTATCGTCGATACTTGATCTGTGGCAATCGAACGGTGCTGATACTGGTAGCTTCCAGCCACAACAAGGAACGCACACCGTCGAATGCTCGATTTGCTACTCTTATCTCCGTCCTCTAAGCCCTCCCGCCACTTCAAGAGCCTAATCTGAATCGTCCATTCGCATCACCAATAGTACTGTATTATCAACCCAGCCTAGTTCGCGAAGCCTTCGCAGGCTAACACAGCAAGATGGCGTCAATCTGGTAATGGCTTCCACCCTTGAGAGCAGCTTGCTGTCCATGGTTGCGCTGGAAGATCGGAAGCAAAAGTGCTACGAAAGCTTTTTACTGATGACAAAAAAGCTGTCTGTAGGTTTTCACGTTGTATCTTCCAGCACTTTCTGGTGGTAACCATTCATGCGATTTGGCTCATCCGAACACTGTGACTGCTACTACTGGTAGCCTGAGCGTGCATGAGGCGTCTTGAGGAGTTGAACCAGGTCTTCAACCTAGGGCTGGCATCACTACGTACTTGGCATTCCCTTGCAATTCAGGGCACTGACCGTCATGTTACAGTCTCCATAGACAGTAGGGGTGTGCAGGTCACACGCCGCGAAGGAGCAGATTCTGCTGGTGACAGGAGTTTGTGAGTAGCCAGAATCGCAAGGCGGTGCAGATGGAGAGCAGCGGTTTGGGAGTTGGCGTCCGCCTCATTAGCAAAGCTGAGCTGACGAGCACTTGGGAATTTGAGGAGCCGTTGTACCCATCATTGCAGCGCTTGCAGTTGAGAGATATGCCGCGCGAGCTTGTAAGGGTAACTGCGCCCGCATCATTAGTTGAGCCTCTTCATGTTTACCTTCATGCGGCGCTGTCAAAAGAGAAGGACTCTTCGGGCAAGTGGCGGGCCCTCTTCATGAGGTATTACCAATCAGAACGGAAACTTTGGGACTCTGCCTTCCTCCGATTTCAACCGGAGTACCGTCTGAAACAGATTGAAGGCTTTTTCCACAAACTGAAGCGAGGGAACGTTGCAAAGAAGCCGGTCGTTCGAGTCACCACAGTGGTGGCCTTGCAGCGGGCGAGTGGTTTTGGCAGCAGGCAAGTGCTACTTCAGTGAAACGACAGCATACTCTCACAACTTAGGGGTTTTCAAGTCTGCCAGGTGTTTTGAGTCTGCCGGGTAATTCTGGGCCGAAGAAAAACTGAAAAGCCTTGTGTTCAAGCTCTTTTGAGGGTAGCATTACAAGGTGTCATTGTTGACATGGTTTCAAGGTGGCATGGTTGATTGGTAGACTGCTTCCATGCTTCTCTTATTCACTGGTTTTTATCCAAACCCTCATGTCAAAACGTGCTGTAACACTGTCAACAAGCTCGCATAAGTGGAGTGGCACTTGAATTCTACTACAGGCCCTTGCAAACTCAAAAGGTGCAAAATCTGTCTGGTTGCATTGAACTTCAATCTGGCTCCATACCTGTCAGCCGCGTGACTTTTGTTCATATTCTCCAGGCTGTACAATTTCTCCGATCAATCAATCTATTCGTGTGGTTGATGCACCTTCATCTCTGCAGGGACTGCCACCCAGGGACGGAGGTGGAGAGATCGGGCGAGCAAAGCGCAGGTGGGTCTGCCAATGCTGAGAGACTCAGCGCTGAGCATGCAGGAGCGGTCGTAGTAGAAGGGGAAAGAGCTGGCAGTTTAGAAGGGCGCGGAAGTGCTGAGGCGCGTGCGAACGAAGGGGTATGGCCCCAGAAGTCGGGTGAGAAGGCTTTGGTCGTGGCAACCGAAGAGCAGGGCGCTGGGCGGGCGGGAAAGAGCGGCAGCGGGGGCTGCAATAGCGCGGCGGCAAGCGCTTCAAGCTGTGAAGCTGCATCAGGCATCAACGGAGGGGCGAATGGCGGTGCAGGAGGTTTCAAAAATGAGTCAACAGAAAGTGGAGGCAAGGTATGTGTTGTATTCAGTCACACTGTTGTGCCCGGTTCTTGCTTGGAAAGCACAGAAACGGGTTACAAGTCAGCCATGCTTGTGTGACAGCGTGGCTTTCAGTGAAATTTGTCAAGTGGGAGCTCGTACTTGCTGTTCTGGATCGTGACAGAAGCCAATTCTTGCACCGCGCAGATTGGCGGCACTCGAGGTCGCCAACTTGTGCAGCCTTCTTGTTGTGCCCGCTTTGCTTTTGAGAGGATTCTGGACAGTCTTGTTGATTTGATCCGGTCAACGAACAAGTTTCGTTTATATTCTTTGCCTTGACATTTCAAAGATTCACTTCAAGATCTTTCGTCCAATTGTTTGGGTTTCGCCAGATTTGTACCGTTATGCACCTTGGCCAATGACAAGCGCTTGTTGAGGCATCCCAGTTTTGCTCAGGTGTTCCCGCTCGAGTCGTTGAGGCATCTTCAAGAACCTCCGAATTGAAAATACCGTTCTTTTGCAGTCCCTGCGGATGCTGACGATAGAGGAGCGAAACATTCTGCACCTCCCAGCTGCGGCCGACGCTGTGGGGAGTGGTTCGTATGGAAGGGTATATGAAGTTTTGGTTGAGGGGGGGTCTCCTTGGGCCCGCGTCTTTCCCGATCGTGTTGAGACCAGGATCGCTGTCAAAGAGTACTGCGCTAAGGGCCTAAGTTATCATCACAGTACTGTTTATACGGTTGAGAATGCTTCTTACGAGGTTATCTTAGCATCGGCGTTTTCCCATGACAACGTCGTCAAGCCTTTCGCTGTGTGCATCGGCGGCTCCGGGTTACCTTTGGCTTTCTTCCCTTTCTTCAACCAGGGGTCTTTACGTTCTGTCCTTCGAAAACGGGAAAACCGCAGCTTGGGAAAGCCCCTCGCTAAGCTGATGTGGACGGCTAGGGTCCTCGTAGGGGCGTGCTTGGATCTCTTGCGGGCAATTCAGCACGTTCACAGCATGGGTATTGTACATAACGACTTGACTCCCAATAATATTCTCGTCCACTTCAACGAGTGTGATCTGTCTATCAAGCTGGCTGTGCACGATTTCGGTGTAGCCAGTAGACTTGTTGACCGTAAGAGTCATCGGAGTTTCAAGTCTGTCAAAGAGGAAGACGAGTACTCGAAGAGGTACAGCTATGTCGCTCGAGAGCTCATCTTAGGGGGCTTCTTTTCGACAGAAACCGACATGTATTCTGTAGGTCTTCTATTGGGGGACATTTTAGGTCTTGATCGGGCCTCGGTTAGAAACGAGTTGTTGGAGTCAAGAGAATGGAGTACGGTGCTCCTCTTGATAGCGGCGCTGTCAGAAAAAGTCCCGCATAAGAGACCCACTTGTCATCGGCTACTTGAATCTTTTGAAACATTGTGGCGAGATTACCAAGATAAAGACTAACAGACTTGGACAAGAGATGGACTCAAAAGATATTGTTTGGCCCAACGGTTTATGCAAATGGAATTGGGCTTGCACACCGGTTGCTTGTATGCCTAAAGTATATCTACACAAGTTGATGCATGTATTCTTTCATCATAACTCGATCCAAAGTCCATGTGCGATATGATCATGATATTTTAGGTACAACCGACCACTGAAATTATACAACTTGGAGCGGCTGATCCTCGGATGGACCCTAATTTTCAACATCGCCCAACAGACATATGCAAGCACTAAAGACTTTGGAATCCGACCACTCCACATTTTCAATGATCGGCCAACATGCATATTATCGTTGTGGCGCACACAGAGTCCATTGTCGAGGGCTTCACTTAAATCGTTTGTGGTTTAAAATAACAGCTTGTACATGCCGGGTGACACAAATGCAATCGAAGTATACAAATAAGTCGTCGATCGATCTCAAGCGCTATACTTGATCGGCCGCGCAGAGCTCGATCCATGGCATACGTCCAGGGCCGGGGCATCAACGAGGGTAAAGTCCATGCAAGTACAAATGGGCCGGTTCAAGCTCGCCAAATCAATGGTTAGGGAGACCCATGTTGAATTCGCGGCCCAAAGGCTTTTGTAACGAGCATATCAGTGGTTTCGCAAACCATTGAAATAAGCCTTAACGCTTCTGTAACGGGCAAATCAATGGTTTCGCGAACCATGGAAATAGGCGTTACGGCTTCTGTAACGGGCAAATCAATGGTTTCATGTACCATTGAAATAGGCCTTACGGCTTTTGAGTACGGGGAAATCAATGACTTCAGAAACCATTGAATTGAGTTAGAATCATGTTCGATTCAGGTGGGAGACTCGAGACTGGCAAACACTCCTTGCGCGGACATTCTGGCTGGCCGCTTGGCGCGGGGGCCGCCCCCGTATGTCGCAGCTCGCGGTTACATCCACCGCCATCATGGAGGCAGATAGTGCGTTGTACGGCGCACATGCACCCAGAGCCGACGATCAAATGAACTCGTTCTCAGGCACGCCCTTTTGCGTCCGTGCCTGATGGAGACGACGTGTCGCCTGCGTTGTGATGCCGCCCGCCGCCCTCGCGCACTGGCATGGCGATCATATTCGAAGTGTCTGTCACACGCAGTGCACCCCCCTCGAAGGGCCCAATCGATCGATGACGACCACGTTTTATACGTGCTGCATCCTTTGTCAAGAGCGATTGCGCGCCTGCATCATCGCCCGAATATTCGAACTTTGGAGCACGATCCCCGGTTGTTCGAATGCCTCCATTACGTTAACCCCGCAGACTTCTTGCGAGAGAATATTCCGCACGCTGTTCAACGTGCTCGCGGCAGTCTTCGCAAGCCAGTTGGACCCAAGAGTGGCATGTACCACATGCTCACGCATATTATTTTGGACTCGACGCCTGCGCGCGGTACCACGCATTATTGATTGCAGAGCATCGATGCGTCAAAATGTTGACGCATTCGCATTGTTGAGCTCGTGCTGCTGGCGCGATCCAGAAAATGTTGCATATGTCCAGCTGCTGCACACTTATTGAGTTGGATTACATATAGCATGCCACATGATATGCGCAGTAGCATATACAGCATGCCATGATATGCGCAGTAGCATATACAATTTGAACCGACCTTACCATGAGCTGCCAAGGACGACCTACAGCAGGTTAATCAATTCACATGATCAAGCGATTGACTAGTCGCCTTCAATAAAACATTTTCAATTGTCCATATTTACAAGTCCAATCAAGCGCTCTTGAATCGGATGATGCAATAAGTAGGCTTATTAAGTTACTTTGCTGTGTCCTAGCAATGATGTCCTAGACCAAACGAGTTTCGTTGACATAAAACAATCCCTCGTTGTTTGGATCTGGAAGGATGTGCTCAAGCCGCTTGATTGTTTGGAGCCCTATGACGTCGTATCGAACCTGCTCGACACCATCGAGCCCCTTCACCATCTCCCATTTCAGCCGGACGCTCTTGGTCCCGTCCTGTGGGCCCGTTCTTTGATACCACTTGACGAAAGCGAAGGCGCGCTTCATTCCCCTGTGATCAACACAGGTGAACAGCAAACGAAGCTGTGCATACCATTCAGTTCGCGCCAGCTGCCCTTGCCGCTCCGGCCCAGCTCCATTCACGACCACGTCGCTAAAAACGGGCCGCTTGTTCTGCCCGAAGCATGGGTTCGCCCGAGCTAACTCCGTCTTCAAACTCCCGTCAGGCTGCCGTGCTCTCGCAATCGCAAGCGTCTTGTGACGTCTGACCTTCAAAAGCGAATAAGAGGCGGACCCATTCAGCTTCGCAACTTCTCAATGCAAGTCCTCGTCCGCCCAGTGACTTTATCACAGCTTGACACTAGGTTCGGCAAGGACGGTCAAAAGCACAACACTTTAAGCAGGATAGATCAAAGCGAGGTTCAAAGATTGAAGACCGAGCAACATGCCGTGGTCCAGATTAACACAGCCAGCAAACGTGTTGGCTCCGATTTTCAAAAGCTTCCAACCTGTACCCTCGCACACTTCAGATCGCCGGAGTGATTTGTGCGTCACGGCCGGCAGCCACAGCGTCGAGAGATAGTCGCATCAATTGGTCACTAATCTCCTCACCTTGGCGTCTTGGACAGTGGGAAGGTTTGCGAGCAAAGCTTGATTGCCTCGGGGGTTTCCTCCGAGATGCGCGCGAAGTACGCGCTCGAGATGGACGAGCTCGGGCTGTTCGAGAAGGACCGGATCTCGATTGCCGTCCCGCAGGGACTGACTGGACAGGCGGAAGAGTCGAAGAGGGCGACTTTTCACGCTCAGGAGGTTGGTCCGTTGGGCCCTCGCCTGCATCCACAAGCGAAACCCCTATTCACAAGGGTCCTTGATAGCGTTGCAAAGCATGCACGACAGCCGAACTCTGGTTGGGCAGGCAGACACAATTGATACGAGGGCCACGAAACATCACCAGGCAAGTACGCAGCCATCGAAACGACAAGATATTATCTGAAGTGGCAAGCTTAAAAAGCAAGGCGGAATGATCGACGATATTGTAAAACAGCCCCCTGATTGAGCGCTTAAAGAACTTCAGTAGATTACCATTGAAAAGTGCTCCTAAGCCGGAACTTGACGAGAAGAAACGAGAAGAGACTGATGCACAGAACAAAAGCAAAAGCAGATGACTCGAGAAGAGGGCAGCACTCGCAACGGATCCTCGATGCACAGCAACAAGAGTACGGAAAATATCTTACCCGTTTCCGGAGAGCTGTCTCCTTTCGAGTTGGGATGAACTCGTCTTTCCCCGCTTTTAGAAGGCGAAGTCGGTCAGTCACGTGTTTGACCATTTGCATCTGCATCTGGTTTTTGTTAGAAGCCCTGAACGGATTTTTCGCCGTACGCTTATGACTTGACTCGTAGTTGTCAGCAGAGTACTCCCCAGAAAGACCCTTCAGACTGACAGACTCAGTAGAATGCGCATTCGTGTGTACCTTCACGGTGCCCCAACCCGAAGCCTGGTAAGGCAGTATCCTCTTCATCTTAGCTAGGACCCTATCCCAATCAGCGTCTACCTTGGCCAAGGACTCGTCAGTGTGACCGCTCGTTTTGTGCCTGACCGCGAAGTCAAGGTACACATCAGCAAAATCTCGAAAGAGCGGGGTTATCTCGTCACGGCCATTGGGCAGCGTGAAGACGCCCACGACGGCGTACACGGCCACCTGCGAAGATACAAGGTCAATTTTTTACATAGGTTGAGAGCGCAAGGTTCAGGTATGGCGAAAATGGAAGAGAAATCAAATCGGACACCAAAGATACTCGTTACGTTCCTCCGTTCATCAAAGCATACATGCCCGTGACTACAAGGCCCAGCTTTCCGGTCGTTTCAAGTCGCTCGAGAACAGATCAAACTAGTCAGCTTCACTTTGCATCACACCCACCCAGAGTCCAGAGGAGGCTTGTGAAAACAGCAAATCGGGTCACCGGTCAAAGTGAACGAAGAAATCGTTGAAATCTTGAAGAACGATAAGGGCGCTGGCTGAATGGGACAACTTCGTTACCAACAAAGAGCAGAAAGCATGGGCAACGCAGCCAGGGATTTCTTTCATGAATCACCAGCCCAAAGACGGAGCAACTTCCAGAAGCAATGTTCAATGATCGACAAGACGCACAAAGCAAGAATCATTGTTACCCACCGACAGACTGTGGCGATGCTCGAAGGCTGTCACGAAAGACGAACCGCCCAGGAAGTCGATGTTGGGTAGCCGGAGACCGGGGTGTGTGTTTCGGAAAGAGAGGAAGCGCTTGTTCGCTAAAGCCAGGCGCTTGTTCCCCTTCTTGGCTCCAAACTTGTCTTTGGCGTAGTTGCCCACGAGCTCAAAGAGCATGGGTATAACCCCGTGGTCGAGCTGCGAAAATAGAGCATGGCAGTGCTCTTCACCAGTTTTGTCGAAACTCGAATCCATTTCGGAGAGGACAAGAAGACAACATTCGTCTTGCCAAAGGGAGTCAAAGAATCAGCAAAAAGGCTCGATTGAGATGTTAGTTAAAGCAGTGAATCATATGCGCGACTGAAGATAAGAAACCAAGCGGAACCATTACTAAAGATGCGATCTTCACAAGACATACCTGGTGCATGATCTCTGGTAGTATGGAACGGTAGACGTTCCCGGACTCCGTGTTGCCGCCCTTCCAACCCCATAGCGCGTTCTGCGCATGAAAGCTGTGCTCGTATCAAAACAGGACCAGATTCGACGGCAAAAAGCACGTTGTTAGACTTGCGATCAGTTTGGTACTATGTGATTAGCAGTAAAGATCTGCTCAAGCTCTGTTCATTCCGAAATCAAAAAGCCACTGATTCGACTTCATTCGAATCAGAATATCGAAGCACTGCAGTCAGCCACAACGTGTTGTACCAGACGAGCAGATAAGCGTGATCTGAACGACCAAGAAACAGAAAACCTCTTCGATGCTGTGAAGGGGGGTCTACATGAGCCTACTATCATACTCAGACTTTCAAAGGTGCAAAGGGTAGATAACTTTTCTTACACTGAGACCTTTCCTTTGGCGTAGATGGGTTCAAAACTTGCACAAGAAACTCCACATACCTGAACTGGGTTCACCGAGAAACCTTTGAGCAGGGACTCAATGACCGCGTTACACCCGCCCTTCTCGTGGAGCGTCACGACCTGATTGTAAATCTGCTTCATCTTCGTCTCTGTCCGTAGATCAGCACGTCTGCCTGCAGCTAGATCGTGAAGTTCGGTGGCCAATACAAGACACGTGTGACAAGGGCAGTTAGTCTTGTTGCCGCTCTTTGTACCTGCGGCAACACAGCCTTCCTGCCAATCTGTCACGACGGCATATATCATGGGCCAGACTGTCGTCTTGACGCCATGCGCATCCTCTACCTCCATGCCCCTGCACAACAGGCAAGTTCAGCAGATTCGTCAGCAACCTGCTCAACAATCCCCCTTTAAACATGAAAGCTTGAAGTAGATATCCAAAGAAGAGAGACTTGTTGGATGCTCTAGTGACTATGGCCCAGAAGAAGAATCTTCACGATGCTCAAATTGCCACAATGATCGATTGCCCCCAACCGAGACGTGCTCAGAAATGCACAGACCTAGACAACCAAAGTTCAAGGGCCAAGCAAGAACCTCACGTCCAGGTGAAGAGCTTCAAGCGTTCAAGAATCCTTCGGTACGACTCATGCCATATCTGGAGCTGCCGCAGACGGAGCGCCTCCGAGCCGTCTGAGAGCCCCGACTCTGGACGTGGTTCCACGTACGGAATGTAACCCACAAGAACCCAGCCAGAGCTTTTCCCCCTCAGCTCCTTGGGGATATTGGCCAGGCTTAAAATCACAGGGCGCACTTTCAAACGTCCACTCAAACTCAGCGGAGTCCCATCGCTGTAAAGTATGAGCGCCAGTACTGTGTCTGACGCCGGGATGAGTTTCTGCAAGAAACAGAAACAACATACGATGTATACTCCACATGTCTTTCACACAGTCAGTTCGAAGAGTCTAACCAGATTCAAAACCTCAAATAGAGCTCCGCCCCCAGGAATATTGAGAACGTTGCGTTGGAGCTGAAGTTCAACGGGGTATGAAGTGGCACTTTGAACTTGGGTCTAAAAACCCCAACACAAGAAGAAGTACGAGCCAAGATCTAGGGACACTACAGAGGAGTCAGATTTTACAAGCAAAAACCGCAGTAGGAGTCATACTGGAACTGGTTGCTTTGGACAGAAACAAGACATAGCCCAAGGCATAGCCCAAGGCATAGCCCGCGCCTCTTAAGGACTCTGAGTTCGTACCTGCATCTCATTCCACCAGATCCCAGAATGGGCCCCTTTGTATCGACGCTTCCCATCTCTATCACGCAGCACCATCGGCTTCAGGATCAACTTTCCAGCATGGAGGGGATCTTTCCACAAGCCCAAGACCGAGGTGTACGCATCGCAATAATCGAGAAAGAGGTCTTGTCCATCTGTTGAGCTCGCTAGATTGATTCTAGACCAACCTTCCTGCATGGCAGTACATATAACCGCGAGTTAGCTACCACATCCTTGTGTACTAGAGCCTGGCAGCTCGACAAGCCCATAGAAAGAATGATGCAGCGAGAAGTCATGCTCATCACTCAAAGTAGCCTATGCAATAGATCAGATTGATGATTGCTTGCATCCTGTGCTAGACAATTGAAGTGCCCACACCAGCAAAACGTTTGAGTTCTGAATCTAGCAAAGACGATAAGGCCAAGGCCAACATTAAACTGGTAGCCAGTGACACGGGCTTCAAGTATTGACACAGGTTTGAGTCAACAGAGACTTCGTCGCCAAAAACACTGGGCCTTCCTCTGCCATGACGCGCTGACAAAGGATGTCGGCCAAGCTTGCACAGATCTGGAGTGCGGTTGGGGGCCTTACTGATTGTGGGAGCTGGTCAATATACCGCTGCACATCCTTGTCATTCTTCAAACCAGGAACCTCAGCAAAGCTGAGCAACCAATTCTGGTCCTTCCGAGAGAGCCCTTTGCCCCCATTGCAGTTTTTGATAAACGCTGCAAACTCTTGCCTCTTCTCCTCATCAGGATCTTCAGAAGCAACGGTGTTTGAACCGTCGTTGCAAGGGGTCTCTTCAAACCGCGCGCCTATTTGCTGACCAACGGCAGATGTCCTGGGCTCTGGGCTAATCAGGTGGTGGTAGGAAGTATCAGCTTCTTGGGAGCCTGTGCCAGTTTCAGCTACATTTTCAGTGACATTTTGGGGTTCAGGAGGAGTAAGGGGATCAGCGATCGGCGACAGAGGGTTTTCATGGAAAGGCTGAGCTTGGAACGCATTAAACTGTCGGAGTGGCGATGATGGCCCTTGAGAACAAGTTGAGGAAACAGGTGCAGCACTAGATGCAGCCTGAGGAGTGCAACCGCCTTGCCTCCGCTGGTGGTTGGTCAGTTGCTGATAGGAGACAAACTTTCTTGTACACCTACGGCACACAATTCTGGCACCCACGGGACTGGAAGGCCCGTTATTGCTCCGTGATGCTGCTCGTCTTGTGGGAGAGAGATGGGGAAAAAGAGTATCAATGAAGTGATTGACCATCGAAACTGCTGCCAAGCTGAACAAAGCTGCCAACAGTGAGTCAAGGCTGCAAGACGCCGGGCCAGGCTTCGGATGACCTGGAATCTACCAAAGTTGGCACTGGTGACGGCCACCTTTTGCCACCAACTTGCTTCAGATGCTAGTTCCCCTTTGAGACTTGGACCGGGACAGCCATGACCATGCACACAGATCTCCCTAGCTCTCAGCTGCCTGTGGCACAAGCATGCGCAGCAACTACTGAATTGAAGCACTGGCACCAGTCTTAGCTCAGCTGCCAAGCCTTGTGGCAAGCACTGGCAGCCCGGCCGCCCGGCGGCCGCGCTAATTGTGCCATGCCATGATGATCGGATGCCATGATGCAGGAAATACCACGATGTCACGGTTTGGAACGTCGATAAGCTAACCTAGATACTTTCAAGATATTTTTCAGCCGTCGATTCTGTTTCCGTGTTAATTCAACATCTCAATTGCCGGTTGAATAAGCTTCAGTCCTGAATCAACAATCAATCTGCTTGTTGAAAATTTGTCCACGTTGAATCGACACTGACTTTTCTGTTGAAATTATTTTACGTTGATTTTTTGTTGATTAAACAGACTTTCGAC